AACGGGTTATGGGTGAAGATCACATGACAGGGCATGGATTTTTAGACAAGTAGCACTGCTCTCTGTTCATAATCAAAGCAAGTTATACATACTGTGTTCTGGACATGGACTATTCAACACAGCACATGGCGGTGATAAGGATTTCCAATTCGCTTTTCACAAAACTTGTACCAATTTATACATCTGCTCACTTATAGTATATGAGAGCTTCTTTCTTCTCCTTTGCCAACTCTGCAAGGTGTGATTACAGATGGTTTCTTTTCATTTTGTTACTTATCTGAATATCACAATTTTTACAATGGACATTTTTGCTTCAGAAATGACACTTCATTTAAATTTGAATATGGAAATAATGAGAGGTGCCAGAGGAAAATGCATGTTCTCCTCAGCACACCTCTCTTCCCAAGACTTTTTCACACTATAATCTTGTTATCTAGAATATTTTTTCCTCAACTCTTCATCTAAATAATTGTTACTTACCTTCAGATCTCAGACCCTTGATAAAGAAAAGTCCCTACTTACCCTGATTTGTTTTATTTAATGTGACTTGATTTTTGCAATTATTTTCTATCAAGGTATAATGCACACACCATAAAAGTCACCTTTTTAAAGTGTAAAATTCACTTTAACTGACGTAGGGGAGAAGGGAGAGGAGGGGGACGGGGAGGAGGGGGAGGAGATGAAGAAGAAGAAGGAATCCTATACCTATTATCAGTCACTCTCTGTCTTCTCCACACCCCAGGCTCTGGTCTGTAGATTTGCCAGTTATACAGTATGTGCCCTTTTGAGTCTGGCTTCATTCGTGAGCATAATGGTTTTGTTGTTTTGTTGTTGTTGCAGTTTTTGGCTGGGGCCAGGTTTGAACCTGCCACTTCTGGTATATGGGGGTAGTGCCCTACTCCTTTGAGCCACAGGCGCCGCCCTTGTGAGCATAATGTTTTCAGGGTTCATCCAGGTTGTCATGTGGTCAGTCCTTCCTTTGCATAGCTGAGGATCATACAGACACACCACATTCTGTCTGTTCATTCAGCAGTTGATGCACATTTGTGTTGTTTTCACTTTGGGGCTGGTATAAATAATGCTGCCATGAATATTTGCATACCAATTTTTTGTGTAAATATATATTTCAGTTCTCTTAGATATATACCTAGGAGTGAAATTCCTGGGTCCTATGCTAAGTCTGGGTTTAATATCTTGAAGAATCACCAAACTATTTCCAAAGAAGCTGCACAATTTTACATTCCCACCCACCATGTATGAATGTTTCAACTTCTCCACTTCCTTGCCAATACTTGCCATCATCTATCTTTGTTATTATAGCTAAAGGGTAGGAAGTAGTATTTCATTGTGGTTTTGACTAGTATTTCCTTACTGAGTAAAGATCTATTCATGCCATTACTGGCTATCTACGTGGCTTCAAATATTTTGAAATATCTGTTCAGATATTCAAATCTTGCTATGGTCTGAGTGTTGGTGTCTCCCCAAAATTCGTATACCTAATACTTAATGTGATAATATTAAGAGATGGGGCCTTTGGGTAGTAATTAAGTCATGAGAGCTCTGTCCCCACAAATGGGATTAGTGACCTTATAAAAGAGATGGAAGTAGGTGCCCTTCTCCCTTCTGCCATGAGAAAGAGCCATCTAGGAAGCAGAAATTCCTCATTACACATTGAATTGGCCAATGTCTGGATCTTAGAATTCCCAGGCCCAGACCTGTAAGCAACAAATCTCTATTGTTTATAAATTACCCAGTTTAAGAAATTTTGGTTAAGGCAGCACAAACAGACTAAGGCAAAATTTTTGCCTGTTGTTAAGTTCTTTTTTATTTTTATTACTGAGTTGTAAGAACTCTTTATGTATTCTGGGATCGACTATTATGCAGCCATTTAAAACTATGTCTTAGAAAATAATATTTAATGATTTGGGAACTCATTGAGCCTGATCTCCCATTTGTATAGCTAAAGAGCTAAATTAAATCATGAGGATTTTAACAGAAGTCATCTTGGAGATTTGTGATTACAGGTGATTTTAACTTTCTTCTCTATGCTTTTCTCTACTTTCTACTCAGTCTTCACTTAGCATATATAGCCTTCATAAAGAAAAGCTAAAGTGCTCGCTTCGGCAGCACATATACTAAAATTGGAACGATACAGAGAAGATTAGCATGGCCCCCGCGCAAGGATGACACGCAAATTCGTGAAGCGTTCCATATTTTAAAAAAAAAAAGAAAAGCTAAAGATTATTAACTAAAAGTTTTTATTTTCCTTAAGGTTGTGCACAGACTTCTGGGTTTGCAATGTTTGATGATTCTTTCTAGGATTATATTGCTAGTGGAGCCAACACTTAGTGACTTAAGTGGCTTCAGATTCTATCAGGGAAGGTGGCCATGTGTAATGAATTACTCTCTGGGAAATTAGGGTTGAAGATATGAAGTGTAAGAGAGCACTATATTCAAGCTCCTGCCTACGTATTAACTCTGACTCAGTGAATCATTATCAACAAACACAGAAGAACCCACAGCCCTGAACTTCATCTCTTTCACCTGACTACAATGGACTGATCTTCTCCCCATTGGTGGCCAGTTGGCCTGAGAATATGTCAGCACTACCACCCACTTTATAAAACAGAGGTCAAATAAAATCAATTTAAAGAATGTGTAACAATTTTAAATTCAAACAGAATTCTGTTCCAAAATACTCTTAGCATGGCTAAAGTTAGGTGATCCTTGACTTTTTTAGTGGGCTCACCACAGACACCCTCAAGTCCACCGCAAATGCAAATGTTCTAGATACCGTCTCACAATTCTTTATAGCCAACCATCCTCCTTATTATAGTGGTGAGTAAAAAATTAAAAGAAAATCAGTTAAAGTTAACCACACTACCCACTGTCCAGCCTATACGGCATGACACATCCATTTGATATTGCTACTGAAATAATTTGAGGTTCCAAAATGATTTGATTTGTGATGCTAAAGTTAAAATTATTTCTTGTGAGTTTTATATCCATTTGAGAAGAGGAAAATTCTATTTTTCATCAATTAATTTGTCTAATCTATTTTATACAAGATTCTGTATCATCAAAGTTGTGCATTTCTAAAATTTTCTCTAAATAATAGCCTTGGATTTATTCAAAAGTTACAATCCATACCAGAGGAATGGGCCATACTTAACAGTACTGATTTGACCAATATTATCAATATTTTTTCATTTAAAAGAGCATTGCCATAAACTAATCAGCGATGGCAGACGTCAGCATAGTGGATATCCCTGGAAGTGCCCTAACTGGCTGACACACAAAAGAACTAGGGGGCAAGGCTGGGAATTTGCTTTAGATCTTAGTCAGCTGGTGTTTGCATGGTGTTATGTGTGTGGATATACTTACATATGTGCTCATTGGGCTGAATATTTAAGGTTTCATAGTCTACCATGCATGTTGTATGAAATAAAAAAGAATGAAAGATCATTTAAGAGAGCCCTTGTATGTGGTTTATTTTTCATGTTCATCTTTTTCTGATAAATCATGTATGCACATTGAAGAAAATTTTGGAAAATACAAGCAAGTATCAAAAATTATTTACAATTGATTTCCCCAGAATAATTTGTTATTATGAGAAATGTTGCCTGAAGCCCTGTTTATACACAGCGGCCCCTGGCAGCTCGTTGTCAGCACTGCCAACTACAACAGGAAGATGGGAGGCTGCATCCCCACAAACACACCCACCCCAGGATCCACACTGCTTCCACCCGGAGGATTTTAAATCTCCTCCCTGGTTATTGCCTTGTCATTTGCCCGAAGCTGAGAACTCACATTTGGGGGCAGGGAGAGCCCTGAGCTACTTTCTGCTTTCATCCCAGAGAGCTTTGACCTCTTGTTCACCTCAGTGGCATCTAGAATGGAGCTATGACATCACCTCCAGTGGAATGAATTTCATGTGAGTGAGGAGGCTGAGCTGATATGTGGTTAAAGTCATGATCCTGTGGTATAATAGTACTCTCTCTTGCATAAAGTATATATGAAGAATCAACCCCTTTGACTAAAGGCAGAGGTTGGCACTGACCCATGTGCCTTTGGTGAGGCAAGCCCTGGATTTAACACTAAGGCCTGAGATGACTCAGACAGGTGCCTCTGCCACCCTGAGGGTGCTCTGCTAAGCCTTCCACAGATGTTCCCTTCAGTCCTCATGATGGCCCCATAAAGACAGTGCCATTGTTATTCCCTTTTCACAGATGGAGGATCTGAGCCTCAGGTGCACCTCCACATGACGGACATTATCCCAGGGAAGCAGAAGATTTAAAATTAGGGAAGGCTGCAGAGTTCCAGGACCTGCTGGTAAGGGGAAAGCCTACCTCCTTCTGAGGCAGATGGTGTCAGTGTGACCGGGTACAAAGGGCACGAGAGGAGTGGGTGCCCCGGGTCAGTCAGGGGCATGGAAAGAGATGCCAACCCACTTTCAGTCTTCCTACCTCCTTTGCCAGACTTTTATCAACCTCCATACACTTAGCTGAGGGAAGAAATTAGCCATTTGGCTACCACCTAATCCTATATCTGAATTTCCTCAGCTAGTGTGACAACTTGCTTTTAAATCCTTCATCTCACAGAGAAAATTATGCTAATGTAAATGCCATATAGACGTTCGTCAGAAGATGTAGGGTGCCTTTGTAAATGTTAGCGGTGGCATGTGTCATCTGTCTCATTTACGATGAGGAAGCTGAGTCAGAGAGAGGAAGTGTGACTGGAGTTTGGTTAAAAGTAAACCACTGTGCTTGATTTCATCTGAAAATCACAGCAGTGCAATAGACCACATCTGCTATTCAAAGTCAAAGGAAAAGAGCAAAGAAATATTCCAAAAATACATATTGGTATTACGACTAAAGCCACACTCTAGCTAATGGGGGAGGGGAGCAAAGCTAAGCAGACATCTTTTACAGTGCACTTCCATTTACCATTCTCTTCCCCACTCTGACACTAAACTGGCTCCTTAGTCTTAGAAAAGTTAGATACTTTTGTGGTTCATAAGTGTGATCATTAAGTTTTCATGCTAATGTGTGAGATGTGCTTCCCTCAAAGCTTGTTAGACATCAGCACCTTGGCTGTCTGACATGACTGTAAAAAGAAAGAAAGAAAATTTATTCTCTCCCCATGAGCATAGGTTTCCTTCACCTCTCCCTAGAAAATATTTTGGGCAAGATGGTCCCTCTCTCTGGTGCACCAGAAGCTGGTGCACCATCCAGGTTCTCAGAGCTGTATCTGGTCCAATGGAGCCAGTGTTCTTCATCTTTCTGTGGACCCCAGAAAGATGGACCTCAATACCAGCTTCTGTTTCACTAGACTACACTGTATCTGAATGCCTGGCTTGTGTTCTGCCCTGTGCCAAGAAGGCCAGCTGGCTCTGAAGCCTGGACCAGAATGCTGGTCATGGGGGTCTCTACACCCTTATTCTTTTCCCACCCATAGCTAAAAAGTTCTACGGTATGGGGTGTACATTTGTCACCCACATCTCACAGCATTGCTTACAGCTCCATGCCCTACAGGAATGTTGGTGCAATCTTGCCTGCCACCAGCCAATAACGCTGGACTTGTTCTCAGGTGCCACTGAACCCAACAGGGCCACCTAAGTAACCCTCCTGGAGAACTAGCTGCTGACTCTGACCTTAGCTAGCCCTTATACCACATCTGGTTTCCACATCATCATCTAGCTACCTGTCCACATGGCCACCTTTGCAAGTACTGCCCATCCCCTAGGTTCTTCCCCCTGAAGTCTACACTGATTGCCAATCCAGCTCTGGGTAACTTGACTTGGCATCTGAGGGTTCATCTATAATAAGTGCCTCTACCACAAGAAATTCACATCTGCCTCTTTGTGAAGGAAAACTGTTTCAATTAAACTTTTAAATTTCCTTTTTCTCAACAATAGGGCTGATTCTTTTGCTCAGCCAGGGTTTGTGTATGGTTCTTTCCAGTCTAAAACCCATGCATCTACACTCAATGCACAACATTTACGTTTCCAAGTTCCCCTGGTATTCATCCTCCTGTGCAGACCTCTCCTCCACTGAATGGGGCAGACCAGTATCAAGAGAATACTGGTGAAGTGATAGCACATGACTCCCAAGGCTAAGCCATAAAAGATATGACTGCCTTGATCGCGGCTCATGTTGAGGAAGCCATCCACCATGCCATAATGGCACTCAAGCAGCCCTGGGGAAAGGCCCATGTAGACAGGAACTGAGCCCTCCTGCATACAGCAAGTCCTTGCCAGCCTCACCACCTGCCAGCCCTGGGAAGGCACCAGCCTATGGTGCAAGCCCCAGCCAAGCCTTCAGAGGACGGCAGTCCCAGCTGACATCTAACAACTTCAGGGGAGACCCTAAACTGAAACTGCCCCACCAAGCCACACCTTAGTTTCTGAGCTGCAGAAACTGGCAGAGACACTAAATAGTTTAAGCCACTAAATGTTAGCAATAAATATCTAATACAGAATGCTTCTCCATCCAGCTCTGTGGCCCTACATAGACATACATGTACACATACACACAGACTTTCCTAGCTAAACTTTAAATGTTGAGATAATTGTAGATTCACATGAAGTTGTAAGAAATAATACAGAGAGATCCCATGTGCCCTTTACCCAGTTTATCCCAGTGGTGATAATGCACAGAGCTACTTTACGGTACCACAGCTAGGATGTGACATGAATGCAGTCAAGATGCGGAGATGTCCCATCACCACAAGGAGGTGTCCCATCACCACAAGGCCTTTTAGAGTCACACTCCCTCCCTCCCAGCTTCCCCATACTTATTCTCTGGCAACCACTAATCTGTTCTCCATTGCCATAATTTTATCATTTCAAGAAAGCTGTATACAAGGAATAACACAGTACACATAATATAAACTTTTAAGTTTCCCTTTTTACATTCAGTATGTTTTTCTGCTGAGTCATCTAAATTGTTTAGGAATAGTTTATTCCTTTTCATTGCTGAGTAGTATTCCAGGGTATGGATGTACCAAAAGCTCATTTAAACATTCCCTCATTGAAGGACATCAAGGATGTTTCCAGTTTCGAGCTACTATAAATAAAGCTGCTGTAAGCATTCATGTACAGATGTTTGTGTGAACCTGCTTCCATCTATCTGAGATAAATGCCCAGGAGTCTAATTGCTGGTTTGTACGATCTTTGCAAACATGTTTAGTTCCATAAGAAACTGCCTGTGCTAGGATGAATAATCCTCCCGGTCCCCCGAAGATATCTAGTCCCGGAACCTGGAATGTTAACTTAAATGGCAAAGGGGGCTTTATAGATGACATTAAGTTAAGGATCTTGAGATGCAGAGATTATTCTGGATTAGTGGGATGGCCCATAAATATAACAAGTGTCCTTATAAAAAGGAAGCAGAGGGAAATCTGACTACAGATAGGAAAAAAAGCAATGAGCAATGAGATTAATGTAGCCACAAGCCATGGAGTGCTGGTAGCCTTTAGAAGCTGGAAGAGACAAAAGGCAGATTCCCCTCTGGAGCCACCAAGATAAACCTGCAGATACCTTCACGTTAGCCCTGTAAGACTCATTTCAGACTTCTGACCTCCAAAATTATAAGACAATAAATTTCTATTGTTGTAAACCACTAAATTTGTGCTGATTTGTTAGGCAATAGGAAACTAACATGCTGCCATACTGATTTTTTCTTCCTGAGGTGCTATTGAGCCCACTGTGAATGTAGAATATGAGTAACCAGAGTGTTTCCAGAGGGTCTGTGCTATTTTATATTCCCATCATTAATGTGTTTATTTATTTAATTTATTAATACTTCCTCCACAATATCGTTGGCACTGGGTATCGCTGTTATTTTTTCATTTTAACCATCCTGGTGGGCATGTAATGACATTTCACTGTGGTATTAATTTGCGTTTTCCTTATGGCCAATGATGTCAAACATATTTTCATGTGTTCATGTGCCCTACGGTGAAATATCTTTCGTGTTCATCTATTTTCTAATCAGATCTTTTTGGCTTTATTACCGTTTCATTGTTTATTACTTATTTATAATTTATTTTACAGTTTATTACTGTTTAATTATTGCTTACTAATGTTTTTGTTACCGAGGTTCAGAGATTTTGATAGAGTCTAGAAACTAGTCCATTTTTGGACATGTGGTTTGCAAGTATTTTCTCTCACCTTTGAACTTGTTATTTCAACCTCTTAACATAGTCTTTGCAGGACCAATTTTTTTTTTTTTAATTTTGATGAGGTCCAATTCATTACTCTTACCAGATATACACTATACGTCTGATGTTAAGCTAAAAGACTCTTTGCCTATCCCTAGAACTCAGGGGTTTTCTCTTATTTTTTCCTAGAAGCTTTATAATTTACATTTTACCTGTAAGTCTGTGGTTCATTTTGAGTTAAATTTTGTATAAACTATGAGGTTTAGACCAATGATTATTCTTTAGCCAATGGATGCCCAATTTCTCCTGCACAGTTTGTTGAAGAAGCTATCCTTCCTCCATTGAATTTCTTTTGCATCTTTGTCAAGACTCAGTTGGCTGTATTTGCGTGAGTTTTTACCATGTTCCATTGACCTGTATCTATCCCTGTGCCAATCTCACACAGTCTTAGTTATCATAGCTGTAGAATAGGTCTTAATATTGAATTGAGTGATCCATCCTATTTATTCTTCATTGTTAAAGATATTTTTAGGAAGGCCAGGTGTAGTGGCTCAGTGCTCAGGATCCTAGCATTTTGGGAGGCCGAGACGGGATTGCCTGAACTCACAGGCTTGAGATCAACCTGAGCCAGAGCAAGACCTCGTCTCTAAAAAATAGCTGGGCATTGTGGCAGGTGCCCTTAGCTGAGGCAAGACAATCTCCTGAGCTCAAGAATTTGAGGTTGCTGTGAGCTATGATGCCACAGCACTCTACCAAGGGCAACAAACTGAGACTCTGTCTCCAAAATAAATAAATAAAGATATTTTTAGGTATTTAGGTCTAGGCCTTCCATACAAATTTTAGAATTAGCTTGTCTGTGCCTATCCAACACCTTAGGGCAGCAGTTCTCAAACTGTGGGTCACAATCCACAGGAACTGTATTAAAGGGTCATGGCATTAGAAAGGTTGAGAACCACTGCCTTAGCGAGTATTGCATTAAAACTATAGATGTGAAAAAAATTGACATCTTTACTATGTTGAGTTTTATAACATGGTATTTCCATTTATTTAAGCATTTTTAATTCCTTCATCAGTATTTGGTAATTTTCAGGAAACATGTTATACACTTTTTGTTAGGTTTATCGCTAAGTGTTTCCTTTTCATTGATGTGATTGTAAATGTTGTGCACTAATTTCTGCTTCCACATGCTTATTTTTCATATTCAGAAATGAGATTGCTTTTTGAGTAAGCATCTTGAATCCTATAATCATGCTAATTTCACTTATTAGCCCTAGGATTTTTTTTATAAAATTCCTTAGAATTTTCTACTTGACAATCATGTCATTTATTTCTTCTTATCCAATTTATCTGTCTTTTACTTATTTTTTGCTTTATTGCAGTGGCTAAAACTTTCAGTACTGTGGCATATAAGAGTGGTGAGAGGATCCCAATCCTAGACGAAAAGTAGTCAGCCTTTCTCTGTTAAGTGTGATGTTAACTGAAGACTTTTGTAAATACTCTTTATCAATCTGAGGAAGTTCCCCCTCCATTATTAGTTTGCTAAGAGTTTCTATAATGAATTTTGTTGAGATGGTTGATTATGTTGGTTAATTTTTCAAATGTTGAACAATCTTAAATACCTGTTAAATACCACTTGGTTATGATGTATAATTTCTTTGTAGACATTGCAGATTTTATTTGCTAATCTTTTGTTGACATTTTCATATCTAAGTTCTTGAGACATATTGCTCTATGGTTTTCTTTTCTTTTTTTTTTCTTTTTTTTTTTTTTTTCTTGTACTATCTTGTCGGGGTTTTGGTATCAGGGTAATACTATTTTCAAAAAATAAGTTAGGAAGAGTTTCTTCTTCTGTCTCCTAGAAAAGATTAAGTAAAAAGAGTGTTGATTGCTTAAATGTTTAGTAAAATTCTCCAGTGAAACCATATGGGCCTAGAGTTTTG